AGAGAGAGGGGCGCAGAGGCAGAGAAGAATTTATTATTTTACAGTTGGCTCGTGCATTTGAGGAGGGCTTGGCAGGTCCAAAGCCTGTGGGGAAGAGTTGCAGTCTGAACCCAAAAGGGCTGCCAGATTCTCATGTCCTCTAGGGAGGTTCATCTTTTTCTCTTAAGGTCTTCAACTGAATGGATGAGGCCTACCCACATTATGGAGCATGGTCTACCTTACTCAGTGTCTGCTGATTGAAGTCTCAGTCTCATCGAAAAACCTGCACAGAAATATCTAGAATAATGTTTGACCAAATTTCTGGGTACTGTGGCCTAGCCAAGTTGACACATAAAATTAACCATTGTACCTGCAACCCCTCCCCCACCACCCCCATTTCATTTGTGGAGAACTGGAAACTCAGAGTATGTAATTGTCTGGTACAAAAAGACCAGTATATATAGTAGAATCCAGGTCTGTGAATCTAAAGCCCCTCTATTTTTTCCCTGCATAACATTAGGTACCCACTGCCAAAGGTATGATCTTATCTTTTTTTCCATTTTTTTTTCCATTATTGGGGATTGAATTTAGGGTGTTACACATGCTACATGAGTGCTCCACCACTGAGCTACATTCTCAGCTTTTAAAAAATATCATTTTAAGTTGTTGAGACTGGCCTCAAACTTGTGATCCTCTTGCCTCAGCCTCCCAAGTTGCTGGAATTACAGGTGTGTACCACCACGCTCAACTTAATCTTTTTTTTTTTTTTTTTTTTTTTTACAATGCAAGCTGTTTTTTACCTCATTTCAATTAAAACATACCTTGGAGATAGTTCGATATCAAGTGCTATACTGTTTGAAAGCATTGAAGACAATTGATCATATAATGTGCAAATCACATTAGAAAAATAATAAGAATTTCGAGACTTGACAAGAATTCAAAATATTTTCCGAATCGCTTGGGCGTCAGTGCGGGTGTCACAGCGTACCTCTGTGGCGTGGTAGTTTACCTGCTTCCTAAGCGTTGCTCTGGTTTCTTAGCCAAGAAGAGTCTGCAGATGTCTTTCGTCTCCTCTGTGAAGTTCTCATGGTGGAACGCGACCTCGTCTTTCATGGTTCTTTCCTTTAGATCCTCTTTACTGACCTTTTCCTTGAAATCCTTGAATGGTGTCCGTCCAGCCACCATTTCGTAAATGCTGCATCCCATTGCAAACCAGTCCACGGGGTAGGAATAGCTCGCCTTGTCCATCAGGATTTCAGGGGCCATGTAGCCATTGGTTCCAGCCTGTCGCCCGAACAGCAGAACAGAGACACGGAGGTGAGCGCACAGACACCCAGCACCCACTTTCCCTGACTTCCTAGGGGTGACAATGCATCTAACTGCTCTTCTCCTGCTTCCCAGCAGCCTCTGGGGGCAGCCCAGGGGAGGCCATGCAGTCCACTCTGACCAGTGGGACATAAGGAGTTGTTGGCTGGGGTCATTATAGAAGTGAAAGTTGTGGCTTCTCTTGAAGTGAGAAAATCAAGTTGGCCTCTCCTTATCTCTCCCCTCCTCCCTAGTGAGGAGCAAACTCAGGGCCTCTCACATGCTAGGCAAGCACGCTACCCACTCATTATCTTATATTGTTTTGATTGTCTTTTTATGGTGCCTGAGATTGAACCCAGGAGTGCTTAACCACTGAGCCATATCCTCAGCACACCCCCGCCCCCTTTTTATTTTGAGACTGGTTTTACTGAGTTGCTTAGGGCCTCATTAAGTTGCTGAGGCTGGCTTTGAACTTGCGATCCTCCTGCCTCAATCTCCCCAGTTGCTGGGGTTACCCATGTGTGTCACTGCATTCAGCTTCATGATGTCATCTTTAAGATGAAAAGTTCAATTTGCTGTCTCAAAGATTCCCTAAACTTTCCTTTTTTAAAAAATTCCAATATAATGGGAAACTAGAGGCATATGATTTTTCCTTAAGGCCAAGAACTTTCTAATATTGAATGTTCCATGTTCCTAGTGTAGGATGTTTCTTATTCTCTTTTCTTTGCAATTACATTAATATCACACATCTCTGCATTGAATAATTAACACAGCCAAGATTTCACATGAAATTTCATTAAACATGTATGACTATACATGTGTGTGCATATGTGGTATGTACACATGTATGTACAGTAGGCACACTTCTATTGACAATTTATGACAAATGATCACTGAAATAAATATATATGTGCGTGTGTGTATATATATACATATGTGTGTATATACATATGGAGTCTTTTCATCTTAAAAAACTGAAATTCTGTAGCCATTAAACACAATGGGTAAAAAAAAAAAACACAATGTGTCACACACACACACACACACACACACACACACACATTTGCTGCCAGTTGCAGTGGTGCTCATCTGTAATCCCAGCAGCTCGGGAGGCTGAGGCAGGAAGATTGCAAGTTCAAAGCCAGCCTCGATAACTTAGTGAGACCCTAAGCAACTTAGCAAGATCCTCTCTAAATAAAATATAAAAAGGGCTGGGGCTGGGGCTTAATGATTAAGCACCCCTGGGTTCAATCCCTGGTATCAAACACACATACATACACACACACACACACACACACACACACACACACACACACTTGCAATAAGACATATGCAAAATTTTTTAGTAGTATTTGAACATGTTC